GGAGTCAATTAACGTTATTGATGTCCCTACTGTTATTGCAGTTATTGTTGTTGTTGTTGTTACTTGTTTTGTTTGTGATGGAAATCGAACCGGGTGGACGGTGGGTTTGAGGATCGATCCCTCGTCTATACAACTTCTTTTGATATGAATGTTCCAGTAGTTCTTCATCTCATTGTTCGTTCTTCTCGGCAACCTCTTAGCAATCAAAGACCATCTGAAACAAAAATAGAAGGCTACCCGGTTGAGATTTTAATGTGATTCACTCATATAATCAAGGAAAAATATGAGAAAAGAACTTACTTATTGCCAAGTAAGCTGTGAAGATTAATAATGAGTTCATCTTCTTCTTCAGTGAAGTTTCCTCTCTTGAGATCAGGCCTCAAGTAGTTTATCTATCTAAGCCTACAACTCTTCCCACATCGAAGCAAACCTGGAAAAATCAGTACACGTTAACCCTAAAAAAAGTTGAAAACGCTTCACTGCAAATGAACATATGATGATATGGAAAACGAACAGACCAGCTGCTTCGGGGAGAGATCTCCAACAGCATTCACCATGAAGTTTGATGTAGTTAATGAGTCGCTCGTCTTCTTCCCTTGTCCATGCACCTTTTTTGGTGTGTTCTTTCTCGCAACAAGGAGCCATGAGGAATATATGGGAAAATGATGATGAATTGAAAAAATGAAGTGGGAGGGGAATATAAACTGATTAAATGGCGTGCCTGCAAATGCAGTTGAATCAGGGCCCTTTTTGTTTTGAAGAAGAATGAGAAAAGACCACGTGAAGAAGAAGAAGAAAAGAGCACGTGAATTTTTTTAAATTTTTAATTGCCACGTAATAATTTTGTTAATGGTTAACGGAAGTTAACGGCGGAGGGACTAAAATAAAACGAATCAATAATGTTAGGGACCATTTTCCCTTAATTTTTATAACCAAAATCGGTCATACCGAAAACATAGGGGACTATAGGTATAGTTTACCCTTAAAAAATTGTTTTACCGTGAATTAGAAAAATATTTGTTTATGGGTTATAAATTTAATTAAATCTAATGGTTATAAATTAATGTAAAATTTATTAGTTTACATAGGGTAAGTAGAACCCATTCCTATATATACATATTGAACAACTTCTACCTAGGGGAAGGAAAGTTTTTACTCCTAATGATATTTTTTTGGTTGCAAAGTGAATGAAAAATGTCACAACAAATTTTTGGCTATACGACTTTTTTAGGAAAATAAACGATTTTTATAAAAAAAAAGATGGGAGTCGCCACTAATCATTTTTAAGGTGAGATTGGAACACCTAAAACTAGTAGGAAATTTAATAAAACATTTTATTTTTATAAAAAATACCATTTTTTTTTGTCTGCGAAATCAGAGATCAGGTTCGGGAGTCAGTTACGCGTGGTAAAGGATTAGCACCCCGCAGCGTCCAAAATTGGTACCTAATCGATTACCCCATATTTTAAAATTGGAGATTTTGAGTTCAAAATATTATTTAATTTAAAATCCACTATGTATGCAAAGTTCGAAAAGGATGTCGACTTACCAATATCAATAACAACCACCCCAAGCAAAAGTGAAAGCTTCGTTACCAACCCCAATAAATAAACATCACCTTAATGATTTTAGAAAACATGATGAGAGTTTTGAAAAGGATGTTAATTTACTTCGACAATCTACAACGGTCACCCCTGGGCAAAAGCGGAGGATACAATATTAACCTATAATAAATGAACATTGCCTTATTTAAAAATAGAAATGCAGTCAAGCAATCGGTTATGGAACCTAATTATACTAAATTAATAAATCAAAGCTTCTCTCAAACTTAAAGTGTCAAATTATGAAATTTAAAAAACATAAGGGATTAAACCTAAAAGTGTAAGCTCTAATATTAATCCTAATCACTTTTAGTGAATTATTGAATCGAATAGTCAAAATGGAACCTTGAACATAAACGAAGACCAAATCGAAAATTCTCCTAAATTACAGGAATAAGTGAAATTAAACCTAAAATTGAGGCTCTACAATATTAATCTAGTCAATCTTAACCAATTATTTGATTCGAATAATTAAAATGGAATCTCGAGCAAAAACGAGGATCGAGTAAAAAAATCACCTAATTTAAGGATGAATGTGAAATTAGGCCTAAGATGGAGGCTCTAATATTAATCCTAATTAATTTTAATCAATTATGAAATTATTCATCTAAATTAAAAAAGCTCTAAGGACCAAATCGAAAGGAATCTAAATTCAAAGAATAAATTAAGGATACAAGTGATCTATCAAGGATTAAATTAAAAGGATAAAATAATTAAAGGCAATTAAAATATATAAAAAATGACTAAATTGAAACAATTTAAAAAATAGAATTAAAATTGAAATATTAAATAAATGACTAAAATGAAAGAAATCAGAATATAAAGCTTAAATTAAAACAGTGCAGAAAATTAAAAGCTAGAATTTAAAGGACTGAAATGTAAATACCAGAAATTTAAAGGCATAAATTAAAGGTGTAGAAAATTAAAGGCAAAAAAGTAAATAACAGAAAATAAATCAATCGAATAAATTTAGAAGTTAGGGGTTAATAATTAGAATTTTACCCGGATCATAAATAACGCGAATCATACCGTAGGGTGTGTCAACGCGAAGTCGTAGAATAATTCGTATACATTTTATAAAAGTTATAAGTTAGAAGTTAGAAAATTAGCGCGTTAGCGGTTAGAAATTAGCAAAGTTAGCAGTTAAAAAATAGAATTTTACCCGGACCATAAATATTGTGAATCATACCCCAGGGCGGGTCACCACATGGTCGTATTAAAGTTTATATTCGAAATTTAATAACAGGAATCAAAATGTAATATAAATAAAAAGGTAGCCAAATATGAATAAACAGTGACCAAAATGCATAAATTGAAACTATCACATCATATTCGTAAATAAAATAAAGACACAGAATCGATTAGTGGCTAAAATAGAACAAAATAAAAATCAGTAACTAATTTTAAACAAATGGAAAAGCAAAATAGTGACTAAATTAAAGCAAAGCAAAACAGAGTGTCAAAATCAAAGAAAATAGCAAACAAGGACCTAGTGACTGAAATGGAAGAATTCGACTAAGATATAGGGACCTAAGTGGGTATTAACCCAAAACTAAACCTATATATTCATGTTTTAACCATATTTGGCTAAAACAATTAACCCAGCCAATAAAAATCTTTCCTCTTTCCTTTTTCTGTAACAAAACTCCCAAACCATACGGTCGGTCACTCCATAAAAGCCTAAGGCTTTCAACGTCGGCCACTACTATGATGGCCACGCTACCCTTCGACCGAAAACCCGAGCAACCAAGGAGCCCGAGCGCCACCAAAAAATGACCCTAAGCCCCACTCTTTTTTTTTACCAAACTCTCCTCCCCGGCCCAAACCTCTAAGAACCGAGACCCCCCTAAGCTTCCGATGTGCAAGCCGACGACCTAGACTCCACCAAAGGACGCGAACGGCGAGGGTAAGTCACTTTCCTCCTCTATTCTGTTTTTTTTTTCTTTACCCACATGCATCAACAAAAAAAACGAAAATGAAGAAACCTATAATACCTTTCGAAGGAAAGGTTTTTGCCTTTTGATGTTTCTTTTTGATTTTTTTTCTACGGGTAAAAATTACAATGGGGATTTTGATGGGTCTTATATTTCCCTTTACAAGTGAAAAACAGAAAAAAAAAAAAAAAAGAGATTTTGTTGATTTATGTCCTTTCTTTTGTCTTGCATGGCCGATTTGGCACTGGGGGGCTGTTGTGGCTTGGAGGGACCACTGTTGGGCTGATTTGGTCCACTGGTCGCAACATGGCTACTGAATGGGGCATGCTTATTGCCGACGTGGGGAGCTATTCACGTGACTATCGTACGTGGTCACTGATGCGAGCTACTTGGAACCGTTCGGGACCACTGCTGGGACGATGATGAGGTGGCACGGAGCAGGGGTCACGGGCTGCTGCACGCTCATGTCGTTGGGGTTACATGTGGGAGCCGAAAGGTCATGGCTGGCGGCGGCTAGGATTAAACGAATCAGTAAGGGTTTTTGGTTACCCTAAATATGTGGGCTCGTTGGGCTTGATGTAAATTTAATGGGTTGCTGGTTATGAGTCTATGGCTATTTGGGTCTGAATGTTTTTGTAAGAATGGACATTTATTTTGGATTTTTGATATTATTTGGTATTTTGGTTGTAAGTAATAACGGGCTATAATTTGGACTTTAAACACCTAAAATGAATAGATAGTTACTTAAGGTTTACAAACACTATATGTTGGAAATTTCTCAAAACCCGTTGATCCATTGCAAATATTCCATGAACTAATTTTCATTTCCACCGCCAGTGCCACTTAAATTAATTTGATCTCAAAATCCGAACTTAAAAATCAATTCGATCTCGAAATCCAAACATTTTTAAGTTGATTCTCGATTTCCTTCAATCTGTCTCGAAATGTTCAGACAAAATTCAACTATTACAGTGTTATTTTATCCGGATGACGAGTGGTGGCACGTGACATATTATACCGTATAATAATATAAAGGCTTTTAATAAAAAAAATGTATGAGCATATATAATTTAGTTTTTGTAGTATATAAGGATATAGTTTGCATGTTGAGTATCATAGCAATATAGTTTAGTGGGTATATAGTTTTCATTAAAGATCATATATCATGTCATATTATATAGCTCATTAGATTGTTACATGTTACATAGTTCATTAGGTCATTGCATATTATATGTTATGTAGTTCATTAGGTAGTTGCATATATATTGCGAAAAAGATAAGCAGTAGAGGGTTCGGGTAGTAGGTTATACATTTCAGCATCTGAAAATGAAAGAGGATGAGAAGAAAACAAATGCCTGCAAGAGTATATCTAAAGAAAAAAAGCCTACAAGAAATACAGCAAATGGAAGTCCAACAATCTACACGTTTCCTATTTAAATAATCGAATTATCCAGGAAGATTAGCTCGTATGATAAACCCACAGCATAACATATCAGTACAGACAAGGTTCCTGCATGCTCCATTGCGGAAATCATGAAATACCCTGTTACGATGGTCTTGTAGCATCTTTGCATGTATATAAAAGCAATAATAGCCAAGTTCTGTAATTTTCTTGGCCAACAACTCCACTCGATTTACCGAGTTGCAGAAAATGATTGATTGGTTTATTTGCAGCTGTATATAAATATATTCACATACCATGAAAACAAAAGGAAAAGAGAGAAGATTAGATAAGATGTTTATTCAAGGGAAAACCTTAGGGAAAAGAGTATTTAAGCAGTGGACTTTCTGTCTTTCTTCCACAAAAGCATAATATTGTGTAATACCCTTTAGGGCAAGTTCATCCGTTAGATTAATAATATAAGGTTTTTGTAGATATATGTCTTTAAAGTCCATAACTGTAACTGGATATGTGGCTGAAAACATCAAAATTTGGCGATTTGCTGTCTGAAAACAAATCAGCTGCTCTACAGAAGGTTGAAACTCAGGAGACAGAAGTATATCTGCCTGAAAGAAACCAAAACACATAACATCAAACTGTGCAGATGAAAAAATTAAAACAAGTACACTACAAGACAATCAAATACCTTCCATTTTACAGAAACCTCTAAGAATTATTATGCTGATGACTCAGCTTAATTCTAGTTGAAGATATAATTTAAGGGAAGATATAATATAATATAATATAAAAAGAATAAAAAATTCAGTGTAGTAATATTAGAACTAAAGATAGAAGTGCTCAATCTTTACAGAGAAATAGACATGGGGACACGGGGATCTAATGAAATTAGTACGCACAAAAATAAATAAAATAAATGCAGCCGCAACCATCTTCACTAACTTCACATAGTATATCAGTTAAATTTTCCAAAGAAAGATAGAATAATGGGTTCGGTAAAGATTGAGCATTTTATCTTTAGTTTCTCATATTACTACACTGAATCAGTATTAGGAATTATATTTAAATTCCTCAAGCTAAAAATCCCAAAACCAATGCAAGAACTTGGACCATTGGATAGAATACAGTAAACCGTTGTGAAGAGAACAAGGTGCACACTAAGCACTAAAACTACTATATTGCAGTAAATAAATGTATTGTGTTTTTTGTTTGTCTTGTACATATAGAATAAAATTACGCCATATATTCTAATAAAAAATCTTAAACTCTGTTCCAGTGTATCCAACAAACCATGCAATTTTTTTAATTTGCTGAACAACTTCTGTACGCACCAATTTTTTTTTTACCCAAAAAAAATATATTACAAAAAATATTTTAAAATGCGAAAAGCCCATACCCTGCTGCCCAAGCACCACCCACGAGCAGACAAAGGTCAACTCCCCATCCAGTCACCCATGCCCTGCTGCTCCACGAGCACACAAACCGGGGCTGTTGCCCATCCTCCACCGAGCAATCCCATTCCCTGCCCATACCTTGCTGCCAAATACACATCTACCAACAAGCAATTATTTTTATTATCTATACATATGTAATGGGTATAAAACCCAATCAAACCAACAATGTCAAGGGGATTTTTTCGGAGAAATCAAACAAAGAAAACTAGAAGTTTTACAGTCATGAAATTTTATTAAGGTATTCGAATGTTTTTTTTTCTTTCGTTTAATAATCTCTCTATGCTATTTCTAGAAAAACAAAAATAAAATAAAATAACGATTTAGGAGAGAGTTTACCTTGCCCGGTCGGTTGAGTCCCGCCGCCGGGGTGTCTTCGTTGTGAAAGGAGAGCATCGGAGACCCTTTTGGCCGTTTAGGGTCGTGGTCTTAGTCTCGGTTTAGGGTGGTCTAGGGCCGAATCTGGCGAGATGTGAGTGCGTGTGACTAACACCAGCGTAGGAGGGCCACCACCGGCGTGTGGTGGCCGAGCTTTGTCTTGGTTTCGGCGTGCAACGCCGTTTGGAGTGAGGAAGAAAAGGGAGAAGGGGATAGGGCTGCTTTCGTGCAGAAATTATTCTGGGAAGGGGGAAGGAATTGATATTTAAGGCTTTTTTGGGTAAATCACGGTAAGGTCCCTATACCTTTAGCGTGTTTTGCCTTCTGGTCACTATTTTAGGGTTAAATCACCCTTTTGGTCCTTTATGTTTAAGGTGATTTGTGTTTCAATAACTTTTTAGAGTTAATCGTACATTAGGTCCCTTCAAGTTTAGCGTCTTTTGCGTTTTGGTCCCCAATTCTGTTTATTTTCAAGGATTTGCGAATTGAATGTATGATTTTACATTATTTTAATTTAGTCCTCTGATTGGATGTATTATTTTTGTTCGAATTTGGCTACTGATATTTATGTTATTCCATTTTAGTCCTAAATTTATTGTTTTATTATGATAACGGTGTTTCTATTGTGATGTTTTCTTGTTTCATGCTATAATATTTGTTTTATTAATGTTTAGGATACCCATGTTACTTTATAATCATTTTGTCACTATGTTATGAGTGATTCATATGTATATTGTTTATTTGTATCATTAAAGTGTTTTATGTTTTAAATATTTATTTTACTTGTATTATTTTACTTTATTATGTACATAGGATTGTATGTAGAGCATGGTGTAAATATTTTTTTTCATTTTTGTTATATTTTAGAATAAATATTATGTTTTATGTTTAATATAATATTTAGAAAATATGTACCTATTTATAAAGTATAATAACGTTAAAATAGTCTTAAAATTATTTTTTAGTCCATATGTGTATTTATATTTCTTTAAATGCCTCAATGAACCATATTTTATTTTTGTTTAAGAGCCTCATTAGCATAGCTTAATTGATTACATAATTGGATTAAGGGCAATATTTATGTATTTTAAAATATTAAGAAGGGACAGTCTTAAGATAACTAAATGTCATTTTCTGATATTTTAAGATAAATAAATATCCCACTAGAAAAACCTAAAATTTGATTGCATTTAAAATTAATTATTTTTGAAGGGAAAAGGAAATATTTAGTATTTTAAACTTATTGAGACAATTCGTCTAATTTTATTAGGGATTAAGTCTCGGTATTTTTAAATAATTGAATATCATTTATCTTTCATAATAATATAATTAGGATTAATAGGTTTAATTTCTTTCTTTGGTAGAATAAAAATTATTTTAATATTAAATTCTTAGGAAAAAATATTATATTCTTTTTATTTCAATTGGAAAGAGAAATATTCGTCTTAAAGTATTTTAGAGAATATTTTCTCTTCAATTGGAAATATGAGAATATTTTCTATTTTCCTTAGATTTTTTTTGTTCTACAATATTATATGGTTGAATTCGGAATAATAGAATCGCAATTTAAATATGTATTCGAATTCTTAGATTTCTACTATTTAGAGACAATATATAATTGATGAGTATCAATTTTGGGCGTTGTGGGGGTGCTTATTCTTCCCCACACGTAATCGACCCCCGATCCCTTTTTATTACTAAAAATGAATTTCTGATTACACATGGATCAGTGCATCTTTTTAAATGACGTTTTTCTTTAAAAAAAAACTCTTTTAAAAGAAAATTTTAGGTATTCGACCTATCTAATCTAAAAGGTCGATGGCGACTCCGAAACATTTCTTTTACAAAATCGGGTTTTTACAAAATAAGTCAAGACACGTCGTATCGCCAGAAATCGGTTACGACAGCTTGGCGACTGCGCTAGGGACTTAGAGGGTCAAGCCTTAAATCGATTATATATTGTCTCTATAGTTAGAAATTGAGAATTCAGTTATATTTAATTTACGATTCCTTTGATTCATTTCAATTGTTATTTAATATCTTTGTATACTAATGTGTGCATTTGAATGATTTTCAGATATTAAAGTCTTGGATTCAATTTAGTTCATTTTTTGTGTGGTTGTCTGTCAAAGGTTTGATAATTTCTCCTCACACACGACACTTGCATGGCATAACATAAGCTCTATACCCGAGCTCTTCTTTTAAGTGGGAGTGAAAGCGACGTCTTCATGAGAATTTATTCTCCGTGTCAGACCTAGCAAGTAGTTTTCGGGGTTCATATATCCCATGCCTTCATGAGGATTTATTCTCCGTGTCAAGCATAGGGAAATGCGCCCCCTCGAATTGAACTCGATCTGCTTAAGCCTATAATGGGTGAGGATTGAGGGTCTGGCTAGCCCAAGGGGGCACCGACAAGGACAATTTGAGTACCTTTACTCCGAGGACCGAAACTCTGCATATAGTCAAAATTAGAAACCCACCCGATCTAAGACTATGTTAAAACTCTGTCTGTAGGTACCCAAAAAAGTTTACACAAAGGATAAATGAACTCTAACCGTCATCTTTAAATTCATTCGATATATTATTTTTGAATAAATTCATGTGAACTAGAAATTATGCGGTTAGGGTTTTTATTTCCTCTCTGTGTTTTAATCACTGTATTTTATGGTTCATTTACTAGTTGAATTTAATCTTTTCATATTTCACTAACATACATTTTTTAGCTTTGATTATTATTTTTGCTAACATCTTTTCCTTGTCTCGTTGTTTTATTTTGTGCATAGACATATTGTTAATACCCGAGGTATTTATCAAAATTAGAAAGCTTTTGAAACAACAATGCCACACGAAGGGGTAAATATTTTATCTTCTTTGACATGTGGGACGTTGTGAGGTCTTTAAAAGTTGTTCTAGGATAATTACCTTGAAATGAACACATATTTCATACATGTCATGTCATAGAAGGTATTGATTCCCGAGTTAATAGTTACATTAGAAGGCTTTCAATACGACAATGTCACTCGAATAGGTAGAATAGAAATGTAAAAATGCATCGATGGTCCAGAAGAATGCCCCAGAAAATAGCTGAAGAGATACATCAAGTTAGAATACATGAAGCTCAAATGATTCAGTAAAACAAACTTTTCAAGGGTGCTAGGAAGATGTTGATACAACTAGCCGAGAATAAATAATATGTTTGAAGTCATCAAGCAACAACAATAACCAACACGAGACAATGGATGATGTTAGTCGCATATGATTGCTCAAAAAATGCATTTCTAGAAAAGAAGTCGAAGCATTTGAATTTTCCATCAAGCCAAGGACAAAAAAAGATTGTTTCATTGTATTTTCAATCAAAATTGAAGAAGTCGAGCAATATGACATGATTTGTATTTTCAATCTGCCTCGGTGTATTGAGACATTATGTGTTCTTTGAGAGTTGTTTTATGACGATTACTTTGGAATCAATATCGGGTTACATTTGCATCTGTATTTACATTTCTTGTTGTTGCATTTACTTGTATACATTACTTGTTTTCATACGTCTTAACTTATTTTCTTTTTGCCTTTCTCTTTCTTGCATTATATGGTCACGACATACACAAAAGGGTGTCGATTCTGAGTAGCCACCAATTAAAAGGTTTTCACCATGGACGAGGGGTTTCATAATCAGATAAACCGTGAAACAACCAAGAAATCGTAATCGAAAGAAGTTTAAGTAAAAACATGGAGTTGTACATCCAAAGATCACATGTCTAATGAAGGACAAAGAGAACTACAACAAATGAGGGAACAAATGTCCAAGATGATGGATATAATAACTGTGCTGACCAAAGGAAAAGAGGTTTCTGTGCAAAAAGAGGAAGAACTCGACAAAAATAAAAATGTAACACAAGAGGCTACTTGTGAACAAAGTGACCCAAGCAAACTTAAGGAGCCTCATGCAATCATTGCCCACATCAACAAGTTATCAGGAGGCACAAAAGAAACAGTGACAACTGTAAAATTTCAAGGAAATATGGAGGAAGAAAAAAACACATAATCACTTCAAACAGGAGACTCGCCTCATGAATAACGAGATGTAGGAGGGAGTGAAACTGACTTTGATCTTGTTCTTATCGCATATGGAGATTTGTACAGTAAATTGGTAGAAGCATGAGAAGTGACCCCACAGTATGTGAAACTTATGCAACCTCCGTATGCTGAGTAGTACAATGCCAATGCAAACTGTGAATATCACGCAGGAGCTCAAGGACATTATATTGACAACTTTGTTGCCTTCAAGCTTCGAGTTTATTGCCTGATAGAGCATGGGATACTGGAATTTGAGAATGAAGGTCATCATGGTTCAATAACCGAACATCTGGTTGAAGTGAAGCCAATAGAGTCCAAGGACAAAAGCATCAGTGAGAATAACCAAAATGAAGAGAATTTGTTGAAATACAAAGCACAAATACTTCAGTTGCAGAGCGAAAATGACATTCTGAACAAAGAATTAGAAGCCATGAAATATGGTTTTTACAAAATCAATCAAGCCTTCCAAAATATGGGTTTGGGCAATACCCCGGAGGAATGGGCAAAAGAGGCCTCTAAATTTAAGAAAGATGTTGAACGATGGAAAAAGAATTGCAAAATGCACGAATGACGGGCTAAGAAGTACTCTCGAGATCTGCAGATTGCAGAAGGCGAACGTGGGGAAGCCTGGAGAAATTTAGAACATTGGCAAAAGAAGAATAAATTGTGGACAACTGCTTTATTCGACTCAGAAACCAAGCTAGAAGCTAGTAAAGTTGAAAATAAAACATTGACTGAGCTAATAGTTGACTGTAAGAATTTTGCACGAGAACTTTATGACCGTGTCGAGTCTTTTGAGAAAAAATGGCCAATATCGCCTACAGCTTCAAGAGTTGAAATGTAAACTGGAGAAAAAAGACAACGCGATGAATGAGGCGATTACTCAAGCAAGCAACGTGGCTCATAAGTTGGTCGACTTAGCTGCCTTTGCAGGGGATTTGAAGCAGATTGATGGCTCAGCACCAGACCATGCCTGGAAGATAACCTGGCTCCTAAATGAGATAGAAAAATTAGGAGCTAAAGTTATTCATTATCTGTAGATTGGTTATGCGATGTACTGAAACCTTTTGTGATCAATGAAAATCATTTTAGGATGGTTATTCTAGATTGACACCTTTTTTTGCATGCATTGCATTTATTTTGATTT